TGTGTATTATGTCATATAGGACATGAGTGTCTACTTGTTCAAGTTTATACAAGTTCAAGTACCTAGTTGTGCACACTCAAAGTTGGAGGACACAGTTGTCCGTTGAAGTCAAGTTAAGAGTCATGTTTATGTATTATGAACTTTGAACAATGTAAAATCCTAAAAAAATCAATTGATATGAAATAGAGGAAGTAACTTTAGTCGAGCCGATGGTTCATCCCAAATTTCTCGGGCCGCCGCAAGCATTTCTGTTTTAACCATGTCTTGTAGTCTGATCTGCTTTTTTGTTAGGTTTTTGTTATTGCCCCCACACAATTGCTACTCCCTCGATTTATGTTTATTTGTTAATGTTTGACTTGACAACTCATTAAGGAAATAACTATTGATATAAATATTTTATTAAATTATCCTTATTAAATAATATTAGTACTAAGTTTTAAAAAATAATTTAAAAAATGAATATTTAATGTTAAGAGTAAAACATGAGAAAGTCTTTTCTTGATATGTCAAAATAACAAATAAAAATAATTTAAAAAAAAAAAAAGTAACAAGTGAAAATAATCGGAGAAAGTAATTCTATATTTAATCATATAGCATCTAAATAATCATAGGCCACTTGACTAATTGGTGAAACAACTCTCATGTTAATAATGAAATAATAATAAAGCACGCACTCATAATTATTATATCACATATAAAACAAACAATCTTAGAATAGCATTAGAAGAACAATCTTAGAATAGCATTAGAAGGAGGCCTATTGTTCAAACTTTTTAATTAATTTTCTTGAAATAAAGTACGGAAAAGGGTCAAAATTATCCCCGAATTATATGAAACAGACCATTTATACCCTTCGTTACATTTTGGGATCAAAAATGCCCTTGTTGTTATCCTAAGAGACCACAAATACCCTTAAGAGTTAACACCCCAAATTTTTGTTGACTTGGCAAGCCACGTGGGACTAATCCTTCCACCTAAGCGTTGCCAACTAGGATTCACTACAAAAGAACTAGACCTTTAGCGGCAACAACAGTCGCCACAAAAGCCCAGAAAATCGTCACTAAAAGTTTTTAACACTAAATTCTAATTTTGCGTTTTCTCTTCATTGTTTTTAAAAAACCAAATATGATATCGATTAAGTAGGAGTTTGAAGACACAATATGTTTTATTTTTATGTCATATGTAAATGTATAAAATGTACAATGATGCATTATATATATATAGTAGGAGATTTGAATCGAGAAGTAATTTTGATTATTTTTCGTAAGAATGTTGGATGTTTTTAATATGGATATTGCAAGTTATTTATTTTAGAAAATTAGGTTGCAATCGAAAATTAATTATCATATTTCTTTGTTGAAAAAATAGGTTTTACTAGTGAATGGTTGTTAGAGCCTTAGTCGCCACTAAAAATCACTCATAACCTTTAGTGGCAATATTTTGGGATTTTGTGGCGACTTTGTCGCCACTAAAAATCAAGTTCTTTTGTAGTGAATCTTAGTTGGCAATGCTTAGGTGGAGGGATTAGTCCCATGTGGCTTGCCACGTCACTAAAAAAATGGAATGTTAACTCTTGAGGGTATTTGTGGTCTCTTGAGATAACTGCGGGGTATTTTTGATCCCAAAATATAATAGAGGGTATAAGTGGTCTATTTTGCATAGTTCATGGGCAATTTTGACCCTTTTCCGAATAAAGTATGATGTATAAAATAATCTTCACCAATAAAATTACAAAAGAAGGATTGGCCACCGTCTCAAACGTATGTGCTAAATTTCTTTTCTTTTTTTAATCATCCGATTGGCACAATCTACGGTATTCTTTGCAGCCTATTCCATTTAATAATAGAAATTTGTTAAATAAAACTAATAAAATAATAAACGCTTTTGTATTATTTGGAAGTAGGTATAATAATTAAGTAAATGTTGCAAAAAACTTTATGCGAGTGGTATGTAATTTGCCCATAGTATTGTACTAAACCAATGAAAGAAAATCACTCGATACGGAGTCACCTTTGTTAGAGAGCACTTTACCCTCAATGTGGGACTTTCCAACTCGAATCCAAATTTAATCGGACTCCAATGTGGATATCGGACACTGGATGAAAACCAAAAAAAAAAAAGAAAATCATCCACCATACTTCTCCTTGATTTTTTTCATGAATTATCACAGTAATCTAAAAGGCTAATGTGTCAGCCAAGATCACAATCCATGGGCTCAGTCAATCATCTGGTTTTCATTTTAGGGTAAAAATGAGGTAAGAACGAACATATTAAATCGATTGTTATTGATTAAGAATTTTTTAAAAAATATTGTCTCAACTTTAATAATGATAATTATTGGTTTTCTTTTAGTGTGAGGATTTAATATAGCTAATAATCAATAATTGATTTTAGATTTGAAGCATAATTTGTTTGATAGTAGTATATATAAAGGTACATTAACACCGTTAGCATAAAGTTTATTTATATAGGGCCGGCTTCTTTAGAGATAATTAATGATGTTGTAAATTGCATTAGAGAAATGATCCATGCCAATTGCCAAGCAAGTTGATTTATATTCAAATTAAGGCACTAGCAAGTTGAATAAGCTATTATGTTTGAATAATTCAAGTCAAGAGAAGGAAATTCAATTAGAAGAAAAAGAAAAGACAGAAAAGTTGAAGCATATGCCAAAAAAATAAATAAATTAGTAAAAGTAAGCACTAATTTCCCTACCTTTAGTACGTTGTTGACCACTTTTATTGAAGATAATGATTGTACATTATTAGTCTTGGTCCCTAATTAACCTGCATTTTCTAATACGTTATTCTAATAGATATAGTTTTAAAAAAGAAGCCAGAAAGCCCTACTACATAAGAAATGGAAAATGATGAAACATCAAATTAACATATTGGAATATTTTCAACCATATGGAATTAATCATAACCAAATTGGCAAATACTGCTTTAGCACGATTATTTTTAGAGCCCTCTTGTTCTATCTTTATTTCATCAAATGAGAAGTTAGAATAAGTAGTCAATTTTGGTTTATAAATACAAAAAATAAATATAATACAACTAGGTTACAATATTTTCATGATGCTCTCGTGCACGGGTTCCCTTCTTTGTCCAAGATTGACAACTTTGAACGGGAGATCTCTCAATCAAAGGGCTAGAAGGTTCAAACTTAAACCCCCTTTTTAAGTCGAGTTTATTACATAAAATTTGTTTGGTATGATTTTTTATTTTATTTTTTGTATGTTTACGGGAAATTTCATGAGTCCAAGTTTGCCGAGCTGGAGCTATATAGTAACACCTTGTTTGGATGGTTGTTTGTTTCACGTATCATATTATATTGTATTAAATTATTTTGATAAATATAATATTTGAATAAAATGTGCCATTATATAATGTCACACTTGAACAATTTGAAGAATGAATCCACAAGAAAATTAATGTAGAGTGTGGAGTAGAGCTATTACAAAAGTTTAGAGTGAAGAATAAAATGAGTAATAAATAAGATAAAATGAGAAAATATAAAAAACACCATTTCATAGTTAACGATACAATTTAATTTAAGTAGCAGTTAAAATAAATATTGTATTTTAACTAACAACATAATATAGATAACTATCAACCTTCCAAACAAGTCTACTATTCAAAATTCAGAGTTACAGATGCAAATTTGGATCTAATTTATAATCCTTATCTTTTAAATTCCAGTTTACCGTCAAGGTAAAACTACTTGACGTTTAGTTTGTGTTTCCAATTAAAAAAATGACGACTATCTTAGTGCAGATAGTCATGGGTTCACTAACCTTTTCTATTAACTTTGGTGTACCTATATGGCTTATGGTAACCACTAATTATCTCCCACATCGGACACATCAAGACAACGTTCCAGAAACGAGGCATATAATAATAGATAGCAGGTAACAGGGAAAATTATCTTTGCGCTTGGGGCAATGACGCAGCTAGGGAGGTTCTAACCGAGGCGCGTCTATTGCTGGTTGAAAACTATTTCCAAACCCCCTCTTTGGCCTGGGTTCTGCCTTGGCCATTGAGAATTTTTGAAAGGGCTTCCCTTCTGGGTTAAGCCCTCTAATTCTAGTCTAAAATTATTTTTAGTAGTAATAATAGAAGTATAGAGTAAGCAAATGAACCACAGTTGAACAAGTAATAATAACGTAGAACTTGTGAAAAGGGTTTTCATTGCAATATTTATAACAGGTGTGCACCGTAATAAGCTTAACTTGTAACTTCTAAGGCACCTATGCTAGTACAATTATCACTGAGTGAAGTTGACACTGGCTAATAGGCTATATGTCGACCTCATCCATCGTTATTATTGTATGCACTATCAAACTAAAAAAACAACATACACCCCTACTCCAGTTAACATTATAATCCTCAAGGATTGCAGTAGCATCTGGAGTTAATTGCTCGTAAGCATATGATGATCATTTCAGTCCATACACGGCATTGACGGAGAAATTTGCATATGGAATTTGATAATGAGCTACACTGGGTATATATCGCGGAATCTCCCCAAATATGCTCTGATATAATTGGTAGCAAACGAGACACAAGGAATTACTCTAGAAAACAAGGTAACAGGAAATGAAAACAAAGGAGAAGAGAAACTGGACATTGAAAGAAAACGGAATAAATGGTAAATGAAAGGAACAACAAAAGAGATATCTTTATTATACTAATCATATTGGCTTTACAGTGATATTTAAGCAAGCTTTGCAGATGGAAAGGATGTGGCATCACTCCTCTAGCTGGCTAACTAACTCTAGCAAAGGTGTGAAATTAAAATCAAACTAAAATGAGAAGTTAACTGAATTAATAGAACCTCAACTATACCAAATGCAACAAAATCGCAATAAACAATTGTAAATTGCTATCATAGTGAAGTATGCACCAAGCAAAACGACCAAAACTTGAAAAAATAACGTCATTACGATCTCTTGCTACATCTTTAGTGAAGGTATTTTTAAGCAGCACTCCTTTTGGAGCTATGAAAAAGCCAAGTGCTTTGCCTGATGATGAAAGGCTCTACAAGTTCCGAACATGGCAAAATACACTACTAGCTCGAAAATTCCTCCCCCATTGAATTAGGAGGTATATCATCTGATTCCTCATCTCTGTTTGACATGTTTCTTTGAAGCGGCACGAGATGACTGTTGGAAGACTGGACTATATGTGTGTTGCTGGATAATATTGATAAGAACGAAAGTATTTGCAGCCAAGAATAGCAAACCTGCCACCCAGAGTTGAAGAAAGACATTCTTTCCTTTGAATTCAAGCAAATAACCCCACAATAACCAGTGGCCCTGAGCTGCCATCCACAGCAAGATGCAGACCAATCCTTTTCCTCTGAGCTTCATGTTGGTCCATGGCAGGATTAGCGGCAAGAGACAGAAGAACCAAACAAAGTATTGAGCAGTCATAACCTGTCAAAGGAAAAGAACGTTATCTTGCTAAAGGAAAATCAAGCTAATATTCACTGATTCTCAACATAAAAAATAATCAAGCATTGCCGACAAACCTTGTTAAATGCGACAAATGCCACAGTCTGCACAAAGAAGCAAAAGGGAAAATCCTGCACAAAGCGGAAAACAAGAACTAGCTGCACCATAATCTGAGGCAGAAATGAGACGAGCTTTTCCAAGTTTGATAACTCGTGTTCATAGTGCAGATATATATGGTAGAAATAAATTGAAAAATTGTGCCTCGGGTCTGTACGTGTGAGATGATAGAGCAGTGCTTCATGCAAGAAGTCCCAGCCATATAAAAAGAAGAAAATCCCGGTAAGGAGAAAGAACAAAGCTCCAGAAATAAGCCCAAACATTATCCTCCTCCAGGTAAAAAGGCTTGTTAAAAAGTTGCATATACAACAAGGATCCATAAGCTTTTTACAGCTGGAAGTCTGCTGTGACTTGCTTTTTCTAGAACTCCAATTCACAAGAGCAGGTTTTGTACCATACTGGAAGAACAGGGGATCAAGAACTAAAATGATTGGAAGAGCATAAATTATTGGATAGATCCTCATGTGGACGACAAGCCCATACCAAAATGCAGCTTGTACTAAACGACCTGATCAGGGAAACATCACCAAAATCAATAGAGCGTGAAGATTTATAACTTCCAAAGAAAAAATGAAGCCACAGTTCCCACTAACCCAAGTGGAAATACAGTTATCTGACCCAAAATATCGGAGGATTCTTGGAAAAATTCTCAATTAAAAAGAGTTTGTTGCTAAACCCTATAAAGTTCCAGAGTTAACATTCTTGGATTCTACTTTCCCTTTAAACTAGAGGCTCACTATAACTTCAAATTGCATAATACTATGAAAAGAAACAGAGGTAGATTCAGGGAAAATCTTGTTTCATGCTTTATTGGAGAAACCAAGTAAAAGAACAATATTCAGCTTACACTGATTGGTTGCTAAAAACCTCATTCACTGTCCGATAGTTTGGGTTGGGCCACTATACACCTAACCCTGTGGAGGAGTGGGAGGAAGACTCAATCTTGACCGGTGTTCAATGAGAAAAGCTTCTTTTCAACCAGTTCCATCACTTAAATCATGATTCTCCTAAATACTTCCCCTTCCATATGTCCCCTCTTTACAGTCATTTACATTGCCCCAATGATAATTAAGGTAGATTAAGAAGGAGACAGGAACCATTTTGAACGAGATAATAACAGAGAAAGTAACAGTAGGGAAGTTAACTTACAATGAAAAAGAAAAATTTAGGAGTAAGTTCTCAACATAACTATATAAAATGTAACCAAAAGGTACTGGAAGTTTTACCATTCATTAGACATAGAATAATCCAAAGGATTATGGCGCAGATGATGGGCTCACAATTCCCACGAGTTCCAATGGTAAAGGTAAATGGATTCAAAAGCCATACCATCACTGAATAGGTGCATAATTTCTCAGGCACCCCTCTTAGCTTTAGAATGGCGTTGATAAGAAATCCCACGAGAAGATCTGCCGCACGAACTCAATGTAAGTTTCACTAAGCATATCTGTTTTGGAAACATAATTAAGATGTCTTCTAAGAATATCAATTATGCATTTTTTGCAATAAGAAGAGACAACAAACCCACATACAAAGGTGCAAGTTCAAAAGCTATTTGTCTACTCTTAGATTGATCATCTACAAGTTCAAGTCCCAATCAACAATTCATCCAGTCTTTAGTTATACATCCACAACAACCCCAAAGATTGCCAATGAAACCTAAGCAGAGAGAGCTGCAGAAATCTCTTGGAAACCACATACAAGGAGCATTTGTATGAGGGAAAACAAGAATTCCAAATGAGTAGATTAAAAATGGAACCTTTGCATTGTCTTGAAATTAGAACCTAACAAGAGCTTAATACAAAATTAATCGTTCATGTATCTGTCTGTTCTAACAAATAATAAACACAAATCATACGAAAATTGTGAAGCTCAGACTTCTTCAGCATTCAACGGGAATAAAAAGAACCCAAAAAATTGAGGAACAAAGAAAGAAAAGAAACAAGGAGAAGAGAAAGGGGAAATTTTACCTGAAGCGGAGAAGATAAACTTTCCCCAAGAAGGATGAATGAAAGAATTGGGCACAAGAAGAAAAGCAATCAAGGGTGAGTAACGATATGTAGATCTTTGATAAGGGGATTTTCCGGCAGCAACTAAAGCAGCTGCATCTGAGAAAACAAGATAGTCCACATCTGTGTATCGAACCTCCATATGGGTATCTTGCCATTCTCCGTAAATTATCAAAAACAGCCTAAGAAATGCTGAGAATATCAGCAGCGACTTCAGATTTACAGTCACCATCATTCAGGAACTGATCGCTCAATAGCCAAAACAACAGAGGAAGTAGTTACAAGTACTTCAGCTTTTTATTTATTTATTTTTCTTAAAAAGTACTAAAAGATTATGACTTACCACAATTTTGTACAATTATTTATACAATTATCAAGAATTAAATTTCACTAAATATAAAAAATTTACAGTTTGGATCTTGAATAGAGTCAAACATCAATCGTTTTTTAAATAAAGCAAGTTAATTTTGAACTAAATCAAGCTAGTTTTTAATTTGGGGGTTTCCATGTTCAAAAGTAATTTTTATTAAACATTCAGTTTTGTTTAACTTATATTGACTAGAGTATTAAACTCAACATTCAATTATGTGTTCTATCACGATTATTGAAATTTTAAAATAAGAATTGATTGCATTTAAAAAGAAGCTATTGTTCCAAACTTCCAATTGACGTTCTTGATCACAAAATAATGAATACTTGTATTGATAAGTCTAGAGAAAAGATTTCCAATTTAGGAAAGTCAGTTCCTCCTGTAATATAAAATAGAATTTAGATTATATACATCTCTACTCCTTCAATCTGTATCGTCTTCACTTTAGACAGCATTTGTAAAATAGGAAATTAAACAGGGAAATTCATTTCAAGAGTTGATCATTCACATTATGGGATACAATCACTCTTACATACATACAAAAAGAATAGTCACGAGATACTTTTTCATCTTCAGGTTACTCTTGCCATTAGATTGTTGTCAATTGTCGTCACAATGGGTTCAGATTAGGGAAAAGTTATCGGCAAAGTTTGGCATAGAAAAAAAAAGAAGAGAAATAGACTTTCAGGGGGAAGTTGGACACGTACAACATTAGAAGAAAACAGTACCACAACATTCAAATAATTGTGGGTAATAGGATTTGCTTGATATATATACTCAGAAGACGATCCACTCGGATCCTTCACTTTATCATACTATCTATTCAGTTTTACTAACATAAGAAGATAATTACATTATGAAACTAAGTAAATACCAGAGGGCAGTTATAAAAATTCATAAACTTCGATATCCTAAGAATATGTGACTGTTGGTCAACAGAGCTCATTTAGCCTCAGTAAGTTCTTCTTTCATATCGAAACCAGACAGTGCAGCCAGCTCCGAAAGCTTCTTCTCTCCGCTAAGAACCTGCCACAATATTATAGTTTTAAGGTCCCTCAATGGAATTTGGAAAAGAAAGCTAGAGGTTCAAACAGCAAGATGTTCATTTTCTTATCGAAGGTGTGAATAACTGGTGCCTTTGTATAGGTTACAAAAGATTTTTCTAGCATAAAGAAGGTTCTTGCTCACCTCCCCATTGATCACCCATGTAGGGAACCCTTCGAGTTTTGCTTCTTGACATGCATCGATCATGTAAGTTCCCTTCTTAAGTCCATAAGGAAAGCATTCTACATAGTCTAGTAACTTTGCTGCTTCTCGTCCAAACATCTTGTTGCAGTGACACAAGAAATAAACCAATTTAGTACAGAATACAAGCAACTCTTACCTATACTGCTAAGTGCATGATGCAAATCAGAATTTTTAGTGGGAACTCTACGGCCTTTTTTTATACTCTTAAAGATTAGTTGCAAATTGCAATATTGACAAACAGTTCGGGTCAGAACTCTGGGAATCTGCTTCTGAACTCTAAGGATAAATCCACTGAAGCTCTTAGCCAAATTCCAGCACCAGCATATGAAAGAAGGAAATATAAGGGTCTCTGTTTTTCCCTTTAATGATGCTCTTACTTATTTATGGAAGACGTTAATATTCAACCCAATAGTAGTTGATGCACATTCATATTCTTCCCTACCCATATCATGTTGTCTTTTCCCTTATAGAATGTTACTTTAGGAATGTAGAAATCAGACAACGTGGCTGGAGCCTAATCAACATCCACGCTTCACCCTACCTACATCATGCCAGATTTGATAATGGGGAAAGATTTTTCTTTCCCATTTTCTATGTAAACAAATTTTTTTTTTTTTTTTGATAACCGAGAAATCCGTCTGTGACCCGCCCTTTGGACCAATCGCAGCCTTCTAAACTCGGTGGATAATGGGCCCGCCCCTCTACCCTTCTCCACTTAAATACCAGGCTTCGCTTTGCATGGTGTGGGGCTTGAACCTATGACCTAAGCCACAAATCCTCCACCTTTTGCCACTTGAGCTAGGCCTTGGGGGCAAACAAGTTTTTCTTTCTCTGAATCTCACCAAAAATTTTTTGCCTACTGAAATGATGTCACTATGCCATTGAGGCAACCAAAATGGAAATAATTTTAGAAAAACTATCATTTTCATATGCAGTTTTTTGTTTTTTGAGAAACCCATCAAAATGCAGTACTAAGAAAGCACATTTGCAAAAGAAAGAGAACCTGCTTTTGTTCCTGGCAGTGAGAACACCAGAAAGCCCCATACATTTTTGCCCCAATTGAACGCAGGTGTTTTGCTAGGGATATAGCAAAAGGTGTAGACTCTGATGTGATCTCTGTTGTAAAGTATTCCATCTCAGCCATAGAAGAACTGCAAAAGATGGGAAAAGGATTTTGAGTAATTGTTCTCTGGAATAACGTGCATGATCTTTTCACCAACTATACATTTAAGATGATCTAGAGCTTTACCTGTGACTAAATGACTATACATCAAGAGCTTTTCTATCTTAAATTAACCAAGATATCTTGTTACTGCTAAACCTAGAAACTGAAACAAGCTTCTCTTACTTGCTTTAAGCTTGTAGCTTAAATAATTCATGGAGGTTTTCATATAAGTTAATGTGATTATCTCTGTAATCAATGCCAATCAAACATTCACTACTTAATGCAAGAAAAGGGAACTCTTGCCTATTGTCCTTTCAATCCAAGACGCTTTGCCTAATATCATCCTATAATGTGTGAATGTGTACGGATTCTTTACCCTGTGTTTGTAGGCTGAGAGTCACTGTATGAATTGTTTAGGGTAGAAACCACCAAGAGAACAATAAGTAACTGTATACCCACATCTTTTTGCACCTCTTGAAACCCCAAACCCTGTATACAAAAGAAATATCTTTGTCATTAGCATTGCATATAGCAATAGAAGCTAAACAAACAATGTTCTCTGTAGTGGAGATAACCTTTATACTGCTGACGAACAAACTAAATGACAACAGGACAGAAGCTAAACAGTATGGACAAAATTCCCCAGTGAATTTTGTGCTTAGGATGTACAAGAAGTATGCACTGGCAGCTGCCATGGAAGTAGTTGTTCCAAGTAAAACCAAACGCCCATTAGCTTCACCAATTCCAAGAGGCCTGCTTTTCTGGCCCAATTGTATCCCAAGTATTGCAACTACTCCATAAGCAACCATACCAATCAATGGAAGAGGAACACCTGGCAAATGAAAAAGGATGAAAACTGAATCTCTTTCCAAACATATTACCTGCAATTTAAGGGACATACTGCCTTCAATTTATTGATTTTCCAATCTCTGTCTTTCAAATCAAATAAATACAACTTACAATGTAACAAAATTAGCACTGCATTTGTTATTAAGTCTGACAACAAAATAAACTATATAATACAATGTGCTACCTCCTCTGTGATATGATTTACCATCAAAAGGAGTTAAAACATTTTGTTAGAAGAAGAAATCAGATAGGGTAGGTATTCAACAAACTTCCAAGGACTAGGAATCAAACAGATGTAACAGGTCCAATGGGATGGGCAGCTGCAAAGATAATCTATCCCAGCCCATAACTGACCCAAGTATGCCCTGAACAATTCACCCCAGTGTTTATTTTTTATTTTTTTGGATAAGATAAAGGTCGAACAATTCACCTCTGTGTTATGCACACTATGCACATAAAGTATATGAGAGATTTACGAGCAATTAGAGCCACATCAGTACGAGGATTAGGTGTTGTTACTTCCAGGAATTGGTTTATGTTGGGGCCTCACCACTATGAGATAAAAGAGCTGCAACTTACAGCAATGTTTACTGTCAACATCTTCATGTCAAGTATGTTGGACCAATTGATATTGGTTTTTCTAATTCTGGCTCCACGCTGGAGTTTTTGTAACCTCAGTGCAATCAATGTGTGCCGGCTTATTGTAACACTGAGATAGGGGAAAAGTCCTTTGATTCATCAATGAATACTGGAAGTGGTATTGGTGGAAATGATGGTGACCTTATGGAGGCGAATTGGGTACGGCACAGGTTTCTCAGCCCAATTGCATTTCTAGGCATCCCATTCATTGATAATACAAACTATCTACCTTACAGAGTCTCATTTGAAGACAACCGAAGATTATGTAACTTAAAAAAAAGGCTATTATCAACATATGCTGGTCTAATTAACAATAGATTCCTTCAGCTAATAACCTCTTGTATTTAGTAAGGTTTCTTGGAATTAACTTCATTTTATGTCCTAAATTAATATTTTTAACAAGCAAAACTTACTATCTCCATGTACAACAATAGCGACATCTAAGTTTTCCTAATTAGTTGGGTCAGCTATATGAACTGCAAAGTTAACATGCTTTGGCTAGAGTAGTATTGGGATGGGGTTATCCCCGGGGAAACTCCGATTGTGTGAGCTTGATCTATATCTAATTCCAGGCCCGGATAAAGGAGGAAGGTTACGCCAGCTTGACAACCCATATAGAACTAATCAATTTACGATGATTACTAGCAATACAACAAATTTACTATCACCATCAGTAAATGGAAGCTTTACCATTGTCATCTTAGTCTGTCTGTTTCATTACAAAGGATATGTTTGCAGAGATATTATACTACATAAATAGATGTATTCCTCTATTTGTTCTTCCAAACAATTTTTTCTTACAAACAGATAAAGCAATCCTATTGCATTACATGGTCTTCTATACAACAACATTACCTAATGTAATCCCAAGTGCGGTCTGGGGAGGGTGGTGTACCGTGTACACCAGACCTTACTCCTACCTCGTGAAGGTAGAATTATGTGTTCTTCACTAAAATACTTAAAAAGGGCTTCTTCAACTTCTTAGTCAAAATAAGACACTCAATTGGTGAAATAGGGATAAAGATTATTATGTCTGGTAAGTACATAATTCATAAAGAGAATCAAACAAGAGGCTAATCATAAAAGAGAGGCGTGAAATGGTAAGACTTTGCCAAACTCCTAAATGTAATTGTATCCAATCACTTCTTCAGGTTCCCA